TCCTTATTCGGTGCTCCCAGTGGCGGCACGCTGGCTGTTCTCGGCGCTGCCTCTCTGGCGAACCCAGGAGGTCGGAGGGAACGATGGCCAGCAGGTGTTCTCGCCTTGGGATGGGTTTGGCATCGTTGAGGAGTGTGATTATCGAGCGGGCTTCGCCTTCCGCTTCTGGCTCCCTGTTCGATGTGGCTCCTGGCTTGAACGCAGTCGGTTTGGGAACTCTTGTGGGCCTTCTTGGGATCGACCTGGGGCTGTTTTGGAATCTTGTTGGGCCATCTTGGAGCCTCCTGGGAGAGTCTTAGGGCCTTTGGGTGCCTCCTTGGGGCCGTGCCGAGCGATCTTGGGGCTTCTAGGTCCGTCTTGAGGTCTCTTGGGTTTCTTTGACTTTGAAAGGGCATCCTGGGTGCTACCTTGTGGCCATCTGGGCGATTTCGCGATCATTTTTGACCCTCTTGGGACCGTCGTGGGCGCTCTTGGGATCTTCTTTGGCCCCTTCGGGAGCACAACGGGCGGCAGGTTAAGCAAAAGGCGTCACTTTTACTTTAAACTGAGTTCTGACATCGGAGGGCAATCTTGGAAGCTACTCTGGATGCCACCCTGGAGGCCCTGGACGGCGCGCAGAGGCCCATGGGGGGCCTCTGGGTGGCCGAGGAGTCCCGAGAGGCATTTGGACACACACTGGGAGACCCTGGAGCTGGCCAAGGAGGCCTCGGGAGCCCCCGCGGGGCTTTGGGCGGCCCTTTTTGCACTCGGAGGCTCCTCCTCCTCCTCCTCCTCCTCCTCCTCCTCCTCCTCCTCCTCCTCCTCCTCCTCGGGGTCGCGCGTTCGGCCACGACTGCAGCCTTTTGTCCTAGAACCTGGGTGCAGGAGCGTCTAGAAAGTTTCCCTCCTTTGCAGGAGGCGTCTGCGTGCGTACGCGAGGACTCCAGGCTGACCGCTTGCAGGCAGCCCTCACAATCTTGGTGGTTCGGGGGGCCTGGGGGATCTCATGTTGGATGACGTCCATCAACAATGGGGCGGTGTGAATTAGTATTGGCCTTCTTGAGCTCGGAACACAGTCTCTTGGGACTCTCTTGGGACACTCTTGCGGCGATCTTGGGGGCCTCGGGGGCCATCTTAGCGGTTTCAGGGGCCCCGCTTTGAGCTTTCTTCGGCAATCTTGGAGCCATCTTGAGGCTTCGTAGGCCCATAGCAAATAGGCAGTAAGACCAACATCAATGAAAAACCATATTGAAGGAGGTTGGCCTTTTTGAGGTACACTTGGGTGGCTCCATGGCCACTTTGAGTGAGACGTTTTTTTGTGGTCTTGGGGCGTGTTTGAGGGATGGCAGAGGCTATCTTATGTTGTCTTGGAGGCATCTTGGCGGCCCACTGGGACCCATCTTGGAGCCATCTGGGGTCATCTTGGACGCTCCAACGCCTTGCGAAATCTGGGCTCAGACCCCAGGGCAGGGGAGTAGTGGGAGTGGTGAACCCCTCCCCGAAGGGGGAGACGGGGAGTGGAACAACTTATTCGATAAACGAAAAATCATGAGGCACATCAAAGAAGAACTCGGCCTGTCAGCAGGTGCCTTACGGAAATTTCTGACCCCCCGATGGCGCCAGGGACCCATCAAAGATAGACGAATAATGTGTACCAGAAATTCTGACAGCAAGACTTTCTCGTGCATGTGTTAATTCTAACTCTGCCCATATGGGCCGATGGGATACGAATGTTTTGGACTGCGCGAGCATGCCCCGTCTCCGCAGCCCGGTGGCCCCGCACTGGGGGTGGGCAGATTGGGGTGCCATCTCAGAGTTTGACTGCTGCCAGGCGTGCCAGCCCACGGGCCTGCACGCGGCGCCGGAGGCGCTGCCAGGGGGACCTCAGCGCCCATCTGAGAAATCCGCGCGGAGCTCGGCCAGTTCGTGTTTATGCAGTTTTTTCTTCCTCCATGCCTGTCCACAAGTCAGACGTCGATTATTGTTGCATGGTGTATGGCATCGTTGGTTGCCCTCGTGACTTTGTCCAGTGCGGGCTGCATGCCCCTGCGCTCTGCGGCCGCCCACTCGTCGCACGCCAAGTCCTTCCCCCCCGTGCTGTATCCGCATGTGTCCAGAAGGGTGAGTGCGGCGAGGCTGATGGCTTCACCTGCGACCCAGACGTGATAGAGGTGCTGAAGCTTGGGCACGGAAGGGCCCAGAGGAGCAAGCATGGGTGTCGGGCAATCGGCACGACGAACGCGTGCTTGGAGCGCATGCCATGTTCGCGCTTGCCTATCTGCTCACATGATTTCTGTAATATTTCATATGCACCGCGCGAGCCCATTTGTGCACGTGTGCGGGAGGTTTCGTTTAGTAAGTCCTCCTCCTCGCATGTTTCGGTAGACATGCGAACGTCACGTTTGGGTCGAAGCACATGTACGGGCGACATTCAGGTAGTGGGCATGTGACATGGTGTTTTTTATGTGTGGCCGTCGATGCCTTCGTGTCCGCGCATCGCCCAAACAGGCGACAGCCGCACTCCATCACAACCCGTCGGACTCCGAATGGCAGACGGGCTTCGCCCGCAGAACTGTGCCGTTGCCCCCTCGCGAAAAGGCGACTGCCTCGTGGACTGTCGGACTCGAAGAAGCACTCCGACCATTCGATCTGAAGTTGCGTAACCTGGCCTGCTGGTGCACGGATGCCGTAACCCCAAGTCCGCTCGGAGCTGGACTCCGTGAAGGCGCGCTTCTTCGGTCTTCGATGCTTCCCCTGGACTGCGCTGTGTTAAGGCGTCTCTGGGCGGACGGCGCTCGAGAAAACGCAGCCGCAGATATTTCAAGCCGATGTTCTCCACGTGTACCATGCCTCAAGCAGGACGCTCACACAGCTAATCATGATCCCCAGCAATTTGCTTTCAGAAAAAGAGCAGCGCCTTTGCAGTGTCTCTTCAGCATGCGCCCATGGTGAAGCCAACCACGTAGCCTCACCAGCTGACTTCTTGTGTGAGGACGTTCTTATTATGTGAAATACATGTGTACACTCGTTCGTACACGCGTGCGTTCTTTACGTGTACGCATGGCTCCTGGCCTCAAACATTTGCTTCAGCAGGGCAGTTGATGATATGCATGACGGATCGTGAAACCGAGGAGGCAGCGATGCTGCAAAGAACTGTTTTGTCATCAGAGTGCGTTCAGCAGTCTATAAAGTGGCATGGCTGAATGTCGAGATCGATGGGGAACCGAACAGGGGGGGTCTGATAGCACGCATCATGGTGCGACAGCAAATCGGTGAAAGAGAGGCTTTATTGATGGTATGAGCGCTGGGGCGGCCCTCGCATTCGTTGGACTTCTACTTGTATGTGCGCGGCTTGGAACGGGCTTTGGAGGTGCCACGTCGCGAGGTGGAGTTTGTTGTGCTTGCCTCTGACGGCTTGTGGGATGTGCTGTCGGAGAAGCACTGCTGCCAGATGGTGCGCTCGAGTCAGTCTGCCAGGAATAGCCAGGGGATGAGGGTGTCTTTTTCTCCTTCTCCAACTTCCTTCCTCGTCCACCCTTTTCCTCCTCCCCCCAACGAAGGCCCAGGGGCACGGGACCCCCAGGCTTTGGGTTTATGGTCCCGGGTCCCTAGCCACGAAAAACCCCACTTCGACACAGCCGCTCTCGTCCCTCCTCCCTCCTCGTCCTCTTTCCTCGTCCTCGTCGTCGTCGTCCTCCTCCTCCTCCTTCTTCTCCTCCATCCCTCTCTATTCCTCCTCTCTCCTTCTGCTCTTTTTCCTCGTCCCTCCTCCTGCTCTTCTTCCTGCTCCTCCTTCCCCACCCTGCTCTTACGACTTGCGCCATAGGATCGCCTGCCCCGTGATTTCTTTTGCTCCCGTCCCTCCCCCTCCCGCTTCTGGCCGCCGCGTTCTGCGGAGGCGACGATCTCTCCCGAATTCGTTTGAGCTCCTCTTTCTGCCGCTCTGTATATCGATACGGTCTTCACTGTTCATCACGGCCTCACGCGTTCCGCACCCACTCGTCCTAACGTAGTGTCGGTCAGGAGTGCGCGATTGCACCAGGAAGCTCGTCGGTGCGATGCGCTCGCACCGCTGGTGGGCACGCCTCCTGTGCTGCCCCCAGAGCGGTGCCGATGCCCTGGTCCGTGCGCGCCGGGACCTCGGTGGGACCTTCGCGCTCTGCCGTGCTCGGGCGTCTTTTGCTGTGAGGGGGCAGGATCCGTCCGCCGTACCGCATGGACGGAGATGCGGCCGTTTGCAGTGTCCTGCGTCCCCCACCGCTCGTCCTAAGATAGTGTCGGCCATGAGTGGGGGGCGCACAGCCGCAGGCTGATTGCGTCGCACAAATCGCGGGTCGGCCCGACGGGGTTGCGGCGCCGCGGCGCGCGCGACGCTGCGGCACGACCGCGGGGCGATACGTGCGGTTCACTGCGATGTTTGTGGGCGCGCGCGCGGGCGTTCGCGATATCCTGCGTCCCCCACCGCTCGTCCTGACATCATGTCGGCCTTGAGTGTGCGATCGCACCACCACGCTCGCCGGTGCGATGGCGCTTGCTCTGCCGGTGTGCACGCCTCGTGTGCACGCCTCAAAGGTGGGTGTTTGTGCCCTGGTCCGTGTGCGCCCGGACAGCCCTCTCGAGGGGCAGCGGATTTCTCTTATCTCAAGGGCTGGTCTCCTCGGACCGTCCGTCCTCTCTCCTCCCACGCTCGTCCGCACCCCATTCGTCGTCGTCGTCCTCCCTCCTCCCTCCTTTCTCCTCCCTCCCTCCTTCTCCCTCTCCCCCCTCCCACCGAGGCAGCAGCAGCACCAACGCAGCAGCCGCACCGACGAAGCAGCTGCGCCATCGCAGCCAGCAGCACCAATACTCCGAATTCGACATCTTGAGCTGGCAAGTTCTGCTTTCTTGCGCCTGACCGCGTCGGCATTGGAACATGTTTCGGAATAGGTGCCTGCATTTCCGCCCTGGACCTGGCACTACCGTCGGTGGCTACATCAGCGTATCCAGCCGCACCAGTACCACCCGCACGATCGGACCTGGCATCACTGGCAGCAGCATCCCCGGTACACCCAGCAGCAACACCACTTTCAGTACGACGGGACGTGTCAGTTCCGTCGGCAGCGACAGCAATGCATCTTGCAGCATCCCGGGTCTCGACGGGGCCTTGCAGTACCGTCAGCAGCTGCATCAGCGCTTCCATCAGCACCAGTAGCAACAGCACGACGGGGCCTGGCAGCACCGGCAGAAGCAACCCTGGCGCATCCAGCAGCGCCAGCAGTTCCAGAACGACTTGGCGTGTACATTGCCATCGGCAGTCGCACCAGCGTGCCCAGCAGCATCAAGATTTCCAGCTCGAGAGGACCTGGAAGTACCGTCAGCGGCTTCATCAGCTCAGCCAGCAGCGTCGCTGCCTCCAGGCCGACGCTGTAAATGATGGGGCCGACGCGGGCTCCCTCCTCCGTCTCCGCCCTTCTCCTCCTTCTCTCCTCGTCCCTTTTTGTTTTCTGCTGCATTTGAGGACCTTGATAGGGTCTTTCTTGGCATGTCAGTTTGGCCTCCCCTCGGAGCGCGGTCCGTCGACCCCGGGCCTCACTGCCGCGGCCTTGGCTTTCTGCCGCCCCAGGGGTGTCTGGCAACAGTGGGCACTGCGGTGCCTCCCGTCGCACACCATCCGCCAAGCCAGTACGTACCTGTTTGCACAGGCCGCTGCCTGCATGACTTTTCACATCGTCTGCGCATGGAACCTGCTGGCTGTGAGTGTTTTTTTTTCCCTCCGCCGTTCTCTCTCTCTCTCTCGCTCTCTCTCTCTCTCTCTCTCTTCCTCTCGTTTCCCGGTTGTGGCGTTCTAGGAATTGGCGCATATTCCTACCAATGGTCACGTACAGTGCTGCGGTTCCTCGATTTCTGTTGTGTGGTGCCCCGTTATAAGAATGATCCGTCGGATCATCAGGGGATGCACCCGCAACGGTTTACTTTAAATCATTTACACTGGCAGCGTTTTTTTACGCTGTTGTCCCTCCTGCTGCTCCTCCCCTTCCCCGTCTTTCCCTCCGCTTTCCCATGCTATAGTGTGCTTGAATTATGGCAGTGGCCGTTCGGGCCATGCGGTAGGGGCTGCGACACAATGTTGGCAACTGTGCCCCGATAAGTTTTGTGGGCAAATTCGTATCAACCGCCATCTGCTTTGGCAATTTTTTGCCTTCGTTGCATTGCGGTCGGCCTCGCTCGCGCCGTGCGTTCGGGATAGCCGCCTGGAGAGGCAGCAGATCCCTCCTCCGCTGCCCGAGCGCCAAGAAAAAAACCTTCTCCCTCCCCCCCCCCCGTTCCATGGCTCCAGTGGCTCCGTCCGCCCGAACGGGAGCGCCGTTCTGTCTTCCCCGCAGGTGGCGCGACGGCGCAGGGCCCAGGGGCGCGAGGGCCAAGGAGAGTCCTCCCTCCCCCCTGCTCCTCCCCCTTCCTTCCTCCCGGGGGCAGAAGGAGGTGCCGACGCGGGAGCGGGAGGACAGGGGCGCGGAGGGGCGCGAGCGGGAGCGAGAGTGGGAAGAGGAAGCATACTCGGAGAAGGAGGAGGAAGGAGGAAGGAGGAGGAGGAGGAGGAGGACAAGGAGGAGGAGGATGAGAAAGAGCTGCAATAGGGCGCGGTAGACGAGGAGCCAGATTAGGAGGAGCAGGGGAGGGTGCAGGAGCGGGATGCAAGTGCAGGAGGGAATGCAGGGACAGGTTCAGAAGCAAGTGCCGGAGTGCTGCGCGAGAAGGAGTGGGGGGGGAGGAGGGAGATGAGGAGGAGTATTTGGAGAAGAATGGGAAAAGGGGGAGGGGGAGGAAGATCTGGTACAGGAGGCAGCGGGATGATGAGGACGAGAAAGCAAATGATGATCACGAAGACGACGATGGTGGTGGTGAAGAGGAGCAGGCCGGCTGAGGGAAGAGTCGGTGATGATGATGACGATTATGATGATGCTGCTGCTGATGGTGATGATGATGGTGGTGGTGGTGATGATGATGGTGATGCTGGTGTTGGCAACGACGATGATAATTGTGATGGCAATGATGATGAGGATGATGGTATACTGTTGATGACAACGACGATGGTGTCGGCGATGCGGGTGATAATGCTGCAGATGACGATGATGGTGCCACATCAAATTATGATGATGACGAAGATGGTGATGAGGATAATATCGGTGATGATGAGGGTCGTCGATGTTGATGACGGCGATGCTGACGCTGATGATGATGCTGATGATGCTGATGCTGCTGCTGATGATGATAATGATGATGATGATGATGCTGATGATGATGCTGCTGATGATGATGATGATGATGATGATGATGATGATGATGATGATGATGATGATGATGTGAGTGATGATGGTGACGGTGGTGATGGTGACGACGACGATTGCGATGGCGATGATGATCATACTGCTGCTGATGAAGATGATGCTGATGCTAACTCGGGTCCATATTCCGATGGTAATGATGATTCTGATGATGCTGGCGGTGATTATTAGTATGCTGGTTCAGATGATGCTAATGATG